TGTATCCCTGCTGCAACACACCTGGACAAAATTGTAGATCATTATCAAAACTCTATGGAACGTAACTGCATGCTCAGGTGGCAATTCAGCTATTTTATTCATGTTACAGCTGTAAATGACCTCATTAATATTTTGTCAATATGGAGAGCAGACTTTATCACAGTAGATAATAATGTGTATGTGTTAGTCCCCATAGGGAAATTACTCCTCTGCATTTAACCCATTCACCCATTGAAGCAGTGGGCAGCCACCAATGCAGCGCCCGGGGAGCAGTGTGTAGGGATGGTACCTTGCTCAGGGGTACCTCAGGGTAGCTGTTCAGTGGAGTCGAACCCCCGACCCTCCGATCATGGGGCAACCACTCTACCTACTGAGCTATCCCTGCCCTTTTTTTTAAAATAATAATGTAATTAATTAATTAATAATTAATAATGTAATGTAATGTAATGTAATAATGTAGATGTCTTTCTGAAAGCGCTGTAACTAAGTTTAAGAATATAATCCACCCACTGTTATCATCTTCAATGCCGTGTACCAACATAGAGCATTAACTGCTGTATAATGCCCTCCGCTATCTTACTTTAATTGGTCACATGACTAAAATGTGTCATCGTTTTCGAAAAGGCTCCAGGTTTGCTGTCCACACTGCGATGCAAAAACTGCATTTTCATATGTATCTGCCTTGGAGAGCGTTTTCAAAACGCTGCATTTTCCTTGACTGAAAACACCGTCACAGCGTGGATGGAAGGCCAAAACCGAGAGAAAAAGATGTGTTTTCAAACAAAAACATATTAGTATGGACATGGCCTTACATGGGCAGCATGTTGGTGCAGCAGTCAGGATTGTTGCCTACTGGTTCAAACCCACCGGCCAGGTGGGGCCTTTCTATGTTCTCCCTGTCCAGGTTTTCACCAAATTCCTCCCACAGTCCAAAGAAATGCAAGTTAGGTTAATTTGTGATCCTAAATTGAGTGTGAAGTGTTAGCTTCATGATAGACAGGCGACCTGTCCAGTTGTGTTTGCGCTGCGACAGCTGGAATAGGCTCTAGTCTCCCCACAATGCCTGAACTAAGGATGAAGTTGGATGGATGATACTCTTGAGTAACGCCATCAACAGCTCAGAATCATGCAGGCCAATCTTTCTACCGTTTCAAACAAATTATTCTCTAATCTCAGGCCTCAATAAAATCTATAAACATTTCTAGGATATTAAACTGAGAATGGTTTTTCACTGTTAGCATGTATGTGTAAGTTAAACTATGAATCTTATCCGGTTTGAAATGATAAAAATCCTTCAAATGTTTTCTTAAAAACATTTTTAGAAAGAAGTCAACTTTTGCCAGTGTTGTGAGAACCTTCCCTGCCAGCTTGTTTTTTGAAGTCACATATGTTAGATTTTTATCAAATTACTCTCCTAACCTTCAGTGTGTATTTTCAAAATACTATTCCTTTAAAAATGAAATGTTATCTACCCTCCATCCTTGTTTTTTTTTTTATCATTTTAGGGGATTTAAGGAGTAATAAGTACACATTCATGTGAAAACCACGCAACACACTGAATGCTACATAACAATGTTTTTTGTATTTTTCCCCCTCTCATCAGCTCGCATTTTCTTACGCTCAGTTTCACTGGCAGGAAAAGGCTGTTCTACATTTTACTGCAAGTGTTTCACTGATGGTCAAACACACCTCTGAATCATGTTGTGCAGGAAGCGACGGTGGTTGACCTGCCGCTTGGATGGTCGGTTCTTCTTGGGTTTCTGCAGGGTCCTCATCATGTGACCTGCTGCTGAAGTTACAAAGGTGTACAGGTCACGACCCCAGGGGACCCCTCGCTCCAACCCAGGCTCAAGACTCGCAGAGATAGACGGTCGCATGCCTGAGAAACATACATTTAGTGGAGATTTAGGAGAGTCAGGAGTCACTGACTTAAAGTGGAATAAACGTCCATTTATATAACATAAATGCTCCAGCAGAGTCTTCTTGAGTTTAAAGGATGGAGAGCAGAACAGATCCTGATCAGAGGAGCTCAGACAGGTGCTAACCATAAAGGTGCTGTATACCCGTAAGGCAGGCAGAGCTCTGAAAGTAATCAGAGTAATCTTGAACTGAATCCTGCATTTCCTGACAGACGAGAAACAATGACAGAAGGAGTAAATTTCTCTTGTACTTAAATAAAATATAATCTGCATTCACTATATCTAAAAGTATTTATTCTGCACAGGAAAAAAATTATCTTATTATTTCTCAAAATTAATATTACTGTTCTGAGGAACTGTGACATGAGGAGTAAATGGTCTGGTACTTGCACCTTTCTACTCAATTTTAGGATTTTTTTATTAAGATTATATGACTTATCCATTATAGTCTTATTTACCCAACTAACACATACACACACATTCGTACAGCACTTTTATCTCTGCCTTTGTGTTTTCTAACATTTACACTCAGCGTCTTGCTCAAGGATACTTTGACATGTACACTGGAATAGCTGGGGATCGTTAAACCGACTTTCTGATTGGTAGACAACACACCCTACTGCCTGAGCCATGCCTTAAAAAGTCAAAAGTCTAAAAGCCTGGCTGCCACAAATTTTAACCCCAACTATAACGCAAAAAACAAAGAAATGTGCCGTCAGACTAATTGCAGTGCATCTGTAAAGCAATAGAAGGGGAGTTAAAAGTTCAACACTTCGCTGTGAATTTATGTTTAGTACAAGTAAAGTACCCAAAAGTGTACATAGTCAATTTCCACTAACTAGGAAATCACTATAAAGAAATCAAGCCCCAATTCTCATAAGATGAACATATAGGAAGTGATCAGGATGAATGATTATTAAAAAAATTAAATGATTAAATGATGAGAAAAGACAAACTGCAGGCAAAAATCACCGATTAAGCAATAAGTGTTTATATAAACCTGTTTGTAAAGGCTGTAACTCATATTTATTATAACATAACAACAAAATGTCAAAAACGCTGTTACAGCTAATGTGTTGTACTGTGGAAACAGCAGATCTACATAACTTATAATTATATAAAAATATATAAAAATAACTGCAAAAGCCTGCTTACCGTTTTGTCTCCAGGTTTCTGTGTATCTCTCTACAAACTGCACTGAAGGCTGAGGAGGCGTGCTGCAGTAATTCAGCTGTTAATGCATGTGTGTGCATGTATTGTGGACCGATGTGTGCACAAATTAAGCTGAGTGACATCAGCGGTCAATGCAAATGCATTTTTCCCAGGCAGTCTTAAAGGAATCTGCTTTGACAAATTGATAACGGGAGAGGAAGTGAGACATGATGAGAGGGTCTGAAAAGAAAAGGGCAATTATCTGAGAAGTCAACCACTTGTAGAAGTGTGGGCACACGCCTCCATTGTGTGGCTTTCTGAAAGCAGCTTGTTAAATACTGCGAGACACTAACGCTTGAGTTCAGGGTTAACAAGCACTTAATTGACCAGTTTAAACTCTGGCCCTAATTATCACATTCTCAGTGGGAAGATCTAGGATGGTTGCTAGCTGCTTTTAATTGACCTTTACGATTCAAAAGGACACCTTCCAAGTTCAACATTTTGCATATCTATGGCAGCAGGTGTGTGGCTAGGCTTTATTTTATTTATTTATTTTACACAGATGTGAAAATACATTTAACTTTACAAAGTGATTTTAAGGTTACGATTATTAACTTTTCTCTTCTTTGCAGCTCACGTTATTGTTAATTTTCTAGATGTGAGCGCAACATGCAAATCCAACACAACACACAACAAAAATTCAAATAAGGAGTAGGAATTTGTCTGTCTACATTTGACATAGACAGTCACGTTACTTTTTGGTATCTTTTACCTAAAAGTAACTTGGTAAAAAGTTGTCAACTTATTTCCCTTCCAGCCAAAAAACTGCCACATTCATTCTCAGAAATGAATTTCTTTTTTAGAGTCAGAATTGGTGTAAAGAACACGAAAGCATGGCTCCATCAAGCCTTTTATCAACAGTTTAGGATGGTCGTGATTGGGTTAAGGTGTGAGGAACTTCTTCAGCACACTATAGGCCTGTTAGTACCAATTAAGCATAATTTAAGCACCACATCTTACTTGAGCATTGTTGCTGGCGTGTCCATCTCTTTATAACCACAATGTGCCAATCTTCTGATAGACAACACACCATGTCACAAATTTCAAATCATCTCAAGCTGTTTTTTTTTTCATAAATAGTTCACTGTACTCCAATGGCCTCCACAGTCACCAGAATTCAATCCAGTTGCAGTTCCTCACATTTGGAGTGAGGCAGAATGGGAGACCCTGCAGCAGCTGTGTGATGCTGTTGTGTCAATATGGACCAAAAGTTTTGAGTGTGAGGTTTGTTCCCAGCACCTTGTTGAATCTCTGACATAAAAAAATGAAGCAATTCTGATAGTAAAAGGCGTCCAACCTGCTTTTCCTGAGGTGTACCTAACAAATTACTTTTACTTTATATTACTCAAGTGAAATATCCACCCAGCTTCTTAATCTGTACTGACAAGTTTGCAGATCTTTTGGCTTTTCACTAAATAAACCAAGAAAATGTGTTTAAGCATGTTAAACAAAACACATTTTAACCAATGACCTTCAGAGCTAAACGAGCAAAAACATTCAATATATACTAATACAGCACAAGTAAAAGCAAAAATCACCCAATGCAGGTGAGATCCTGATATGCAGAGGCAAAATTTAGGAGCAATTAATGCAATGGCATCGTCTCATTTATGCTTTCATTTGGCTGTTGGGACACAGAGTAACTACTCGGAAGATGTCAGTGATTTTGTGAGAATGTTCACAGTAAAAACAAAACAAAACACATAAGTGAGAGGTGCAAATTCATTCACTTACTTCAAAAGAAGCCATAAAATCTTGAAAATTGCTTCTATCCGATTTCGGCGCCTTTTCAAAGCCAAGCGGTTAACTCAGAGAAGGGAATCGCTGCTGCAGGAGTGGCATCTATTTATAGTGACACTACATGTGCTTCGGGCCCAAGGGTGCACAGCTCTGGTGTGGTTACAAGGAATAGCGTGGTAAGTCATAGTGTGTTAGAGATTAGAGATTTTCTTACCAGGATTTGCTTACATAGTGACATTACACGATGAGTGCAATGAGTACATTCAACCGTCGTTATCAAATCTGCATGCACATACATTCAGCTGTTTAAGCTTTACAGCATGAGTTTGTTAGTGTGTGTTCAGTCAAGTCTCACGCTTCACATGTTGTGCTTTCTCACAGTCCTCTCCAGGGGGATGATAAGGCTTTATCACACATGCCCTGCAACAGGAGCAGAACTTTGACCCTGTGAGATCTCGTCACGTGTAGATTTGCCTCTGCTGATGATCGTCTTTGTCCAGAGAAATGTAGTTTGTGTCTTTTTGGCTTTGGGGAGACTCAGAAGAGTGTGAGAGGAGCAACTCTGAAAGGTAAGTCTGGATATTTTAGGGGATCACTAATCATAGCCTGGCCCTTATGCTGCTGAATTTCCTCACCCACTGTTTTTCAACCTTCAGTGAACGGCTTTCCTAACTAAGGCAAATGTCGAATGACTTCAGCTTTAATGCTCTCTCTTATCAGATTCCTCACTATGAAGTGGGTCTGGGCTGTGTTCAAAGCTCACCCGTACATCAGTAACATCCTGGGATACACAGCCCTGTTCGCCTCTGCTGACCTCGTACAGCAGAGCGTGCTGGGTGAGAAACCAGCAACAGGATCCACATCGGAGGATTTAGTAGGAGTCGACTGGCATCAGATGGCTCGAGTGGCGACCGTCGGTTTTTGTTTCCACGCCAACTTCAACTATCACTGGCTCAGAGGGCTGGAGAAGATGCTGCCAGGAGGCGGAGTAAAGGCAGTAACTGGGAAGGTGGTGGTGGACCAGCTGATTGCGGCTCCTCTCACCATCAGTGCCTTTTACATTGGTATGTGATTCTAGTTTTGACTTTTACAGCTATTTGTGAACCTCCAGCAGGAGCCTGTGATCAATACCTGATGGCTGTGCATCATACAAGTTTGACATCTAAAGATGGCAGAGCTTTTGGAAGACTGGTTCCTAGACTCTGAGTTTTTAAAAAGCAACTAAAAACTTATATTTTCTTTATGTCTTTATGTTTTTACCCCATTGGATGTGTCACAATTTGTAATATTTATCTTGAAAGGTACTATATATATATATATATATATATATATATATATATATATATATATATATATATATATATATATTTTTTTTTTTTTTTTATAAGTTTTTTGTGTAAAGAAAATCCCCATAATCTAAGACAGAGTTCAACCAGTCAGGCTTCAGATAGACATCTACATTGTTTTACTGTTTTATTGGATGTTTTTCACAGTCAGTATGAATCTGCTGACCATGCAACTGCACCATACCACTCTGAATTAATGGCAGCTATGTTCACTAGTCAACTTATTGGGTACAGGTCAGTAGTGAGTTGGGGTATCTATTGTCATAGTGTCAATTCAACAAGGTGCTGGAAACATTTCTCAGACATTTTGGTCCATATTGATACGATACCATCACACATGCTGCAAATTTTTCAGCTGCTCATCCATAATGAATCTCCCATTCCACTGCATCCCAAAGGTGTTTTATTGGAAGTCTGAGATCGCCATTTGAGTAATCTGTCATGGCCAAGAAATCAGTTTGAGATGATATGAGATTTGTGATATGTGTTATCCAGGAAGCAGCGATCAGAAGATGTGTACACTGTGGTTATAAAAGAGTGGACAACACTCAGGCAGGCTGTGGTGTTTAAATGATGCTCAGTTGGTACTAACAGGCCCAAAATGTGCCAAGAAAGAATCCCATTGTTACATCACCACTACCCTGAACCGTTTACACAATCCTTTCCAAGATTTCATGTTGCTTATGCCAAATTCTGACCCAACTAACCAAATGTCTCAGCAGAACTCAAGACTCATTAGACCAGGCACTGATTTTCTAATCTTGTATTGTCTAATTTTAGTGGCCCATGTGAACTGTAGCCTCAGCTTTCTGTTGTTAGCTGGCAGGAATGACACCTAGTGTGCTCTTCTACTGCTGCTGCTTCAGAGATGCTTTAAGTCACTATGCCCTTCCTGCAGTTTGTCCATCCTTCCAAGACCACTGATATCAACAAGGCATTTTCACTCTGTGAACTGGATATTTTCCCTTTTCAAGACCATAGTCAGCAGGTGTTACTGTTAGCATGCTAATTGGACTCTTTGGTCTACTCGGGTTTTCATAACAGCCTTCACCTATGAAAAAAACACCTATTAGATCACTGTATATTGTATATAAACTTAATTCATCTAAAGAAGCCTCCTAATTCTAAGAATACTAATATAACCGTACTGATGGCATCAATTTTTTATTACTAAACATGACTACTTCTGCTCATTACTGTTGTATTATTACAAGCTTTGTCCTCAGTTATGGATTACATGTGGACAAATCTCAAATGTTCGCATACTCTACTGATCTGCACAAACATTTTAGGTTACATCAATACATCTGAATTAATCAAACGATTTACCTTATAGTTATTACCAAGTAACACAAATCTACCCATGAATAATTGGGTAAAGAAAAGTGAGTTTTTAATGACCGATTGAAAAACAAAATCTGTCTACATTGTAGGTTTGAGTTTACTTGAACACAAAGATGACCCACTTGAAGACTGGAGGCAGAAATTTTGGACATCTTACAAGGTACGTATAAAGTCATTGTCTGTCTTTATTAAACTTCATGATGGCGATATGTTCCCAGATCTCCTGTAATAATCTCTCTCTCTCTCCCACTCTGTAGACTGGGGTAGTATTTTGGTCAACAATGCAGGTTTGCTCAACTCTTCTCTGCACACACAGACTGAGAGAACTACACTGATGACAGGCTTTCACAATCATGATATCCATTTTTCTTCTTTCCCATCACCTCAGGCAGTGAACTTTGCATTCGTCCCCCCTGTGGCTCGGACGGTGTTTCTGGGTGGTGTCGCCCTGGTTTTCACAATCTTCCTGTGTCACCTCAGACAGCAGCGACACCATGAACAGGAAAGAACCTGAGACTCTCCTCGTCACATCGAAGGCTTTAGTAAACTAACTAAAAACACAATTCCAAAAAAGCTGGGACACTGTGAGTAAAATCTGAATGCAGTGATTTATATACATCAGAAACCCATAAACCCCAGCAGCTGGTCTGTTCCCAGATGTTTACAGGCTGCTGTTAAACAAAGACGCGATGCTACATTGTAGTAAATATGGACTTATCCCAACTTTTTTGAGATGTGTTTCTGCCATCAGATTCAAAATGAGCTAATATTTTTCTTTAAACGTCACATGATACATTGTTTCAGTTTTTGACATGTTTTGTTCTATTGTGAATCAGAATCAGAATACTTTATTCATCCCGAGGGAAATTAGGGGTTACAGCAGGCAGCACGCTAATGGCGCATGCGCACTCACAAAGGAACCTTCTGACCAACTTTACACAAACATCACATTGGGCAGACATGTCAGAAGGTAGGCTGATAGGAAAAAAACAACGAAAATACACTACATGAGGTAAGAGGAGGAGAAAAAAAACTCCACTCAGACTGAGCTCCTAGTGGGAGAACAGTTTGATAAAAGAAAAAACACCTCAGCACAAAAGCACATGACTATCAATACACCATAGAAACACGAGACAAGCAACAGGGTGGGTAAAGGGTAAGAGAGAGCCGGCGTAGACAGCGCATCCGGTCCTGCAGCATCTGTGCTGGTCCAGTTGACTGCTATCATCCCCGGTAGGGCACAAGCATCGAAGGCGTTGGAAAGGGAGGGGGATGAGTGAGTGCTTATCAGTGTAAGTGTGTGTGTGTGCGTGTCCATAGTTTAGCTGAGACAGTGTCCTTCGGCCTATCAGGCTAAGTAAACAGTCCTCCAGCCAATCCAGGTGTCCTTCATGGGGCGGGAAGAATAGTCATCACACAGTCGTTATCAGGGAGTTGTTTTGGTGGGCTCCAGCCTTGGGCCTGCAGCTGGGGCCGTGGTGTCCAAATGTTGAATATTGTTGATTTCTCCTTTGTGAGCAGCTCGAATTCTAGCACTCCGAGGCTGGTCTCTCGATCTCCCGAATAAAAGGTTAAGAGGATCTGGTGAAATCATTTGATTTAAACAGACTAAGAGAATACTGCAACCAAATGCGAGGAAAAAAAATAAAATAATAGCTAAATAATAATAATAATAGCTAAAGCTACACTTTAGCTAGCAATGGCTCAGGGTCACTGTAGCCATTAATTTTACCTGAATCCTTTGCAAAAAATCTTTATAGATTTTGCATCATGGTACTGATCCAGAGTACTTCCCTTATTATTTATTCCTAGTGCTATAACAATAAAGTAATTAAAATAAAAAAAATAAAGCAAAAAATATAAAATAATGTACTTATGGGGATTCAATTTGTTTGACTATCCAGTCTATGCAGGCAGAAAGTTTGTTAAATGTTTAAACTCTAGAGAGACAATCATTTTGCTGCTGTAAAATCAGCACTTTGTCATATTTGAAATATAAATCCATATTTTTTAAAGTGTTTTTTCAGAATATCATAATTATAATAATTCATAATTATGTGGATATGCATATATTTCACAAAAAAATATCTAATAAGTTCTCCAGAAAGGCAGGAAAAGCCCTTGAACTTACTTTAAAACTAAATATGTTCCCTAAACGGTGGACAGACTTAGATCCCTGACATCCTTACCCAGCCAGCTAGCAGCTGTGACCAGCATTACTTGTGCAGTTAATAAAAGGACAGCTAATATTAGTTGCGCTGGTGCACACACGGCACGCCCATTTGTTTCAATTCGACACCTCGCTCTGCAGTCAAGGGCGATCATTGGTTAATAGTAGTCATGTGACTGATGCAAGTCAGATCCTTTTATTTAGCAAAACTGTGATTAATAGTTAAATATTATTGTTGAGGGGCGCAGGCAAGACCCCACACGCACACACACATAAAATAAATAAACAAAGATTTAAAAATTGCCTCAAAAAAAAAAAGGGCAATTAGGGCACCAATCAGGAAAGGGGCAGGTGCTTTAAACTTCCTCCGTTTCATCCTCACTTCTCTCTTGGCTTTAGTTAGAAAAACCCGAGCAAACGCTCAGACTTTAAAGAACTAGTTGTAGCAAAGCTGACAAGATGAAAAACAGGCACATTTCAGTCAATCGCATATTTTCCTTTCTCTCCCTCTCTGTCCTCCTCTCTCAGGTTCAAGGTTCTTTATTTGTCACATGCATAGCTATACAAGTATAACACACAGTGACATGTAGCCTGACACGCTCCTCGACATGTGCAAAAAAATTGCACATACATATATATATATATATATATATATATATATATATATATATATATATATATACATTGGGTGAATGTGCAGTAGTAGCAGCAAGCAGGTGAATTATGTACATTAATATGAATAGACATCTGACTATTTTACAGGATAGACAATATAAACATATTTAAAATTAAAGGAATTGAAATGTACATTGTGCCTTGGTTTAGTGTCTGGAAGAGTCCTGTCTCAGTCCTGTATCTTATACAAACCTTAAATGTTGTAGTGAATAAAAAAATAAATCAATTGAATACAGGCTGCTGTTGTGATTTGCTGTCATTGTAATCTGGAGCTTCACTGTTACAAACACTGAAGACAAATTCAAGCAGAAGATGAATAGAATTTTTAACAAACTAAAATAATTAAGTAGATCAGCTCCTTGGCCGCAACTCCCGATATACCAGCAGAGTGATTCAGAAAGTTAAAATGAACCGCTTAAATCGTTAGATTTAAGCTACAATAACTAAGTTTTTTGTTTAAGATAATCGACTATGTGTACGTTAGCATATGCTACTTCCGGTGCGGAAACTCTTGTGAGAAGCTTTGTTTCCGGTCCAAAACAAGTTAAGCAAATGAATGAATCAAGCGGCGATTTACATTTCTACAGATGTCTTGGGCATTTACCCAATATATCTGTAAATGATGTTCATCGACTTGTCGATGTTTTTCCCCCGCCTCAGGGCAAAAGAGAAAAGGGATTCAAATGTTATATTTCTCAGCTGTCCCTCCTTTATCGCGGGTGTTAGGTTCTAAAAATAACCAGTGATAGGTGAAATCAAGTGGCCAATTTTATTTTTTGACAGTGCAAAACGTTTCGTGGACATCGTGGACATACAGTACTGCACTTCAGAGTCACACTGCTATCAATCGATGCAGCGATTCTGTACTGTACAGGAGAGACGTCCCGGAGGAGATCGTCTGCAGCGATCAGGACGCAGGACACAATGTGACGTAAGAAAAAATAAGCATGCAAACTTGCACTAAAAAATCTGCGAAACAGCGAGGTGAAAGGTGAACCGCGTTATTAGCGAGGGACCACTGTAATTTTTAAGGTAAGTCACAACATACACTTCGTAAATACTAATGTATAGAAACCGTTACCAGCAATCATTCATTTTTTGTGTGGCTTTTTTTCAGGGTTTGTTAACGTGCTGTGTAGGTGTGTACTTGACTAACTGATCTCGACATTATGGGGGAAACATCTGGCTTGACTATTCTTCACCTGCAGTTTGAATGCTGAACATTTGTCTGGTTAAATCATAAGACCAGTCACTATACAGAGATGTGCTTCTGAATGTGGACGATGTGTCTTCTGCTGCAGTGATGCAGTTCTGCTTGTGTTGAGTGATGTAAACAACTGATCGATCTAAACTCTTTAATTTTTTATGACACAACAGTTGTGAGTGTTCCCACCTTCTCCTCTTTGTAACTTAACGCGAACTTTCCGTTTTCGAGTTTTGGACATGATTTTGGAGTATATCTTCGCAGTAGCGATTGACCGCAAGGTAAAGCTACCGGAAATGTACAACCCCACATCCGGTCTCAAACCAGGAAGTTAGCATTTTCTCGTGCACAGGGTCTATCGAATATATTTGGGGAAAGGGAAAGTGGAACGAAATTTTAAATACAAAACTGTGTGCTGTGTGTCGTTATTTATTTGTTTTTGAAGAGCAAAATAACTTGAGCCCTGTCAAAGGTCGTTGCCATGGACACGCGGTGGCAAACAGCTGAAAGCCTCGTTTAAACCTTCTTTGCTTGTCTCGTCAGTGTGTTTTCTTCCGTCAAAACCTAACAAGCTCTTCAACTGCAAACAGCAAGAGACTTTATTGAACGTTAAATTTCGTGTCTAGAAAGGATTTCTTTTGTTTAAGGTAAAGAAAAAAGTTAGTTTTTTTTACAATGACCCAAAGGTTCAACTACCAAAGAAATCCACTAAACATTGGCGCTCCTCGCTGGGGTGGTCCGCTTTACAATGAGCTCAACGCCCTCCGAAGAGCAAACCAAGACCTCAGCGAGAGCGCATACATGCTGAGGAGACGTCTAAATGGTCTCTTGGAAGAAAGGCAACGCTACATCCACTGGGATCTTTTTGTAAAGTATAAAAACGAAACAGAGCAGAAATACAAGGAACTTGAAGAACGTTACAAACAACTGGAAGCAGAAATGAAAACAGCGGAGGAGCAGAAGCAAGAAATGGAAAATCCAAAAGATGCAAGTGTAAAAGTGAAGCCAGACAAAGAGGCCCAGAGTCAGAAAGGTGTGGAGGAAATGCTGGAACACCAGCAGGAGTGTAAACACATGAAAGAGGAGCCTAAAGATGAGGAGGAACAATTGGAGCAACTTAAGAATAACTACAAAGTACTTCTGCAGAATTATACAAACTTGATGGAGTTGCATGGGCAGAGAAAATGTGAGCAAGAGACAGACACTACAAAAGACCAGAAAAAGCAAGAGAAGCAAGAACAAATGGAAGTCGAAGAGAAAGAGAAGCAAGAAAAGAAGGAAAGAGGTAAATGGAGATTGTTTAGGAAGTTTTTTGCTGAAAGGGGCATTGAGGAGGCTGCTGAACTTCAAGATAGATACGAGACCTTCTGACCTCCTTTCACCACCTTCCTCTGTTACGACCCTCACCTGCAGACCCCATACATCCTTCTCCACACCCTCAACCTTCCTGCTTTCATCTCTTCACCTCCACTCACCCAGCCCCTCTCCTCCACCTGCAGGGAGGTGTCCCGTGTTAATGTAATTAAAAGCATCATATAGAATTCTGCTCAGCATGTCTGTTTCTCTGTGTAAGTTACTTTGGTTGATTAACGTGAGTTTTTAGTTTGTCACATTAAAGAACAAAGTGGGAAAATACATTGTACAGATACACAAACAGTTTGGTTTAACTGTGTTTCTGTGTATAAAATGATCTCATCATGTTAATGTCTATTAATTTAATAACATTATATGTTCTACTTCACTTCCAACTTCACCAAAATATGAAATACTAAA